TGGGGAAGAGGATATGATTAGTGATAATAAAAGAAAGTAATAAATAAGACAGGAAAATACCCCAGCAGAAGTGATCAACAAAGCCAACGTCTGGTTCTTTGGGGGAGTGGAACTAGACAGGGTGGCAAGTTCAATAAAGAAAAAAATGGAAAATATAAACATACGATGGGAGGTGTAAGAAAAGATTTTATCAAAATGCCAATGAGATTTAAGAATTCAGAGTTATATACATCTCTAAAATATATCTGAAGGTCCCCAAAAAAGGTAGGTTTTTTCCTAGAAAACTATAAATTATCAAAAAAAAAAAAGGGGGGGAGATCTAAATTGACCTATTAGTTTTGAAAAGAGTAAAAACACTGTCAAAGCTTCTAAGCTGCACCCTCCCAGATCTGAGTCATTTTGGATGAGTTCTATCACTTTCAAGGATCAGATGGCTGATTTAAACAATAATATGAGATGTTACCTTAGTTTATACTCCAGGCAAGTGAAGTGGGACACAGATTTTATTATTTTTTCTTTTATGAATACCGCCCACATAGTCCAGGGGCACAGATATTAATCTGTGCTATTTAATTTATTCCAGAATAAGGGGGATAGAAAGCTTTTAAATCCCTGATTAAATGAATTCATAACTAAGGAATCTCTCTTAAGGTTACACAAGCGCAAATTTTCAAAAATCCACCAAATGACCATAAAAGGTGTTATCCTAGTATTTCAAAATGACTCAGTACATTAACAAGTGAAAGGAACAGGAGCATATGATGATCTTGATGAAGGCTCAAAAGTCATTTGGTAAAATTTTAAAATCCTGCAGTATTTTTTCCAGCTTGTTTGACTGCTTAGTTTCATATTCCTTATCTCATAAATGAATTGAAGGCTATGAAAGTTTTTCATTTCAGACCCATCCACAAGATGTGCCCCACAGTGCCATCTCTGCCACTCATCTCCACTACACTTGATTTCCTCTTTATTTGTAACCTGGGATGAAACGGACAGGACTTTTGGCTCTTTCTCAGTGACTTAAATTTGTATTATAGTCGGAGAATATGACCTGTGGGATTTCTACATTTTGGAATCTGGTGAGATTTTCTTTCTGGCACAAAGCATGGTTAATTTCCATGACCATTCCAAGAGGATCTGCTGCACAAAGTTCGCACACAGCGGACACATCAAGTTTGGTAATAGTGCTAGTTAAATAGCCAGATCCTTCTTTGTCTAGTTGATTTTCAAATTCTGATGGATGAGGGTTAACATATCTTGTTGTGACTGGGAATTACTTAATTTCTCATCATGTTCTATCTTTCAAAGCTATGTTGTGAGCCAATGAAAGTATGTAACTATTTATCTTCTTGACAAATTATTCGTTTCATAAACTGACAATACTACCACCAGTTGCTTTCTTTTAGCATTTCCTGATCTTTTTCCACCCCTTCACTCTTAGCCTTTTGGGTCACCCCTTTATTTTAGGTGGGCTCCCATAACCATCATATACACGTTTGTGATGACATTCACAAATCAACTTGAAAATGTCTGTAAGTAGCAGAATTTAACCAGTTCATATTTACTATGATTAACAATATGCTTCAACTTACTCCCACCATCTTATCCTTTCCTGTTTTTTTATTTCTTCTCCTGATGTTTACTGGATCAAGTGAGGCAAGCAAAACACAGAGGATTCAGTTCTTTCCAGATACTGCCTGTTTCAACTATAACAACGTGACAACAGCTCCAGGAAGTAGGGCTTGCTGCTCTACCACACTCTCCCGTCATCCTCCACAGACTGTAGAAACAGGACTTACCCTTGAGACTAAGTCCCTGTGGGTCTTGACCTTATCTCAGAAAGGGAAGCGGGGGGTGCACAGGGATGGAAGAATACCAGGGGTGAAAAAAAAAGAAGACATTTTGGGGACAGACAGGATGAAGACTAAAGAGGACTAACTTAAACAGTCAGAGATGCCAGGCAAGTGAGGTAGGACATAGAAATTAGACATGAGAGAACACAGCACCGAGCAATATGAATAGGTTTATTTGAGAACCTAAATACAACCCACAGCAGTACTGGGGCCCTCACCCATTTTACAGCGAGAACTGCCTCCTCTGTAACCAAGACAGACTCAGTTGAGATCTAGTGTTTTCCATTCAGGTAGTCAATTCCTTCCATGTCCAGCCAGTCCCCTCTGAATACCCAGCTGTCCTCACCTATACTCTTTTAATACACTGTTCGCAGAACTGTTCTCTTAAGCATATGACATTGAAACTGCCACACAGCCTACCCACTGGGCCCAGCCTAACAACACACTCACACGTATCCTTCCATTTTATGCCAATGTCCTTTTCCCTCTTTCTTCACAACACAGTGCTGTGTTCTTTTTCCCTCCGTTTATTATACCCATCGTTTCCTATCCATTCCACTGACTGGAACTCTTAGGCACCACTTTTGCCTCCTAAGATCCCCGCACGAGTAACCATATGCCAGCCAGTGTTCTTTATCTCTTAAAGTCACAAACATAAACCTCCTTTCCTAGAAAAATGCATATACCTACACGTACACAAAATTCTGCACATAACTTAAGAAGGTTCTAGACTGCCCCAAAAGCCGTCTGCAGGTCCTAGGTTTTAAAATTCTGTAAACAAAACACCCCCACCATAATTCATGATGCAGAGAAGACCTGGATCAGGGCCAGCAAAGAATTAAGAAGGGGAGGGAAAGTTGGTCTCTCAGTGAAGCCATATTTAGACGCAGCATTTAGAAAGGTAGAGAGTCTATAAAATGCATACATCCACCTAAAAATACACATCTATATGTGCTACTTTACTCTAGAAATGTAGTTTATTTACATATGCCTAAATCTGAACAATAAAATCGCTTTGGTGTGAGTGTCATTTTCCACTGATATTTATGCCAAGTTCTTACTGGCATAAACAAACACACGGCCTTGGGATCTCTGGATTTGTTCATGTGTTTTGTAATACGTTAAATGAGAATGGTAAAAAAGTAATTCTTAAGTTTCAACTTACGGTTATAGTTATTCTACTTCATGTACATTGAGAGTGGAAATAAAGATACCCCAGGCCTCCCTGCCCCTTAGGGGTTTGGGTAAACTTGACTCAAAACTCCATTAATTCCATGGCTTGTAGAATCTTTTAGCTACCCTGAAGATTTCTGCATATTCTGCATATTCCTCAGCGCTTGTTCTCAGGGGCACCCTCTTCTGGATCCTACATTTATGTGTGGTACTTATGTGTTGCCTCATTTCACCCTGGATACAGCACTCAGCCCTTCCACCAGTTTCCATATGAAATCCACCATGCCAAACACCCCTAACCTTAGGGAAAGACTTGTGGTCACGAAGTTTTCCTACATAAGAGCTCAGAACTTCAGACCATCCTACTTCACTAGTTCCCTGGTACCCTCTCCCACTCCCACTCCAAGTCTACCCTGTTTTCTTACCTCCGACTACCCCGGGAGATTCAAGTTCTCTCTCCTATCGTGTGAAGCAATTCAGCCCTCTCCAGGTCCTACCCCAGTGTTAGATGCCCAAACCCACCACAGTGCTCAGCAAAACAAAAAGGATTCCAAGTAACATGGCCTTTCTTCCTTAATAGGCAACTGGGAATAGGAATTTGTTATATCACTAAATGCTAGGCACTTTACATGTTTATTTACGTCTCCCAATGTTTCCATGAATTAGGTATTTTCAAAACCATTTTAGAGATGAGAAACTTGAGGTTTAGAAAAATTAAGAAAATGAATATGGTCAGAGCAAGTGCTGTATCATCTTCATTTTTCCTCTTTTCCTCTCTATAGATCTTTACTCAGCTTTGTTATTTATATATGGCTCTTGCCTATAGTAGTGTCCACCTTTCTCATCTTTTCCTAGTACCACTATGTTTTCCATCTGCTTCTGATATTTGCTTTCCATTCACCTAGTTTTTCAAATTTCTGAGAATATCAGTACATTGTATAAAGACTGATAAATAATTCAAAAATCTTAAGAACAGAGCTAAGAGCTGGAAGGTCCCTTGGAAGGCATCATGTCCATGCTCACACAACACAAATCCCTCTTCAATTTCTGAGATGGCCTGATGAACCAAGTCCACGTTCTCATGTAGTAGACTATCTGAAATGTTGGGCTCTGATGCAAAGAGTTCTTCCTATCTGAGAGAGGCAATCTGCCGTTTATTCAGGTTTCCAAGTTAGAAACCGTGCAGTCATTCTGGACTTATCTTGGCTCACACCCTAAATCCTAGCAGGCACCAAGAGTGACTCCATCACAGATGACCTACCCCTGCTCCCACCCCAACCCCCATCAGAAGGTCTAGTTTGGGTTGCTCCCATCCCAGTGATGGAACCACAATGCAGACTTGTCTCTCAAAGCTAGAAGATGCCACAGCCAGTCAGACTGCTGACTGCGGCACAGAACTTGCGCCCCCCCTCCCTGCCGCTTCAGCTGACAGCACTTCATGCCTTCCTGGGCGTGGGCTGCAGTCAGCAGGGGCCAGAGCAGGGCTTGGAGGAACTGCCTAGGGGCACCAGGAAGATCACAGAAAGCACCAAAATGGGTCACCCAAGGAAAAGTAGTTGCCAACATTTTAAGACTAAATTGTGTATGAAAATCGAGGTTGGTGTTTCCTTAGAAGCGCTGTGGGCCTGTATTCCGCCGTGAACACAGAGCCGCAGCCGAGCTGAGGCAATCCTCTCAGTGGACTGTGCTCTCTCCAGTTGGATTATTCCTGACCTGAGTCATTTATTACCTGCGTGGCTGTGACCTCTGACCAGGGTGTCCTCATACCTTGGCGTACCTGAGAAAGGCCCATTCTAGGCTTGTTGTCCAGATGTATCAACAGCACCTGCTCCCTTCACTCTCAAGTACTTAGTTTGGACAATAAATTACATGGTCACCCTGGGCTTAATGTGCAAGCCAATTCCCCACCACACACCCATACCCATACCCCACACACGACCACTGAATTCACACAACTACATGTCAAGCACAGAACCCTGTTATAAAGCGATTTTATTAAATTGATTTGGACATACTGTAGGTCAAATAATATTTTCTGAAGATAACAATTATGGACTTTAAAGCTCGACACAAAATTAGTAGCTTCAAAAGGGTTAGTCATATTCCCCAGCAACAGCATGATAAAATAATTCAACTATGTAGAAATATAGAACTCTAGGACTAGCTGGAAACTCGGAAATCATTTAGCCTAATGTTCTCATTTTGAGAGAAAACTAGACTCAGATTAAGCGATTTGCCCAAGCTCACATACCTAATAGTAATAAAGCTAGAAATCAAACCAATTTTTCCTAAAACTAAAATTCTATCAATGATATTTCAACTGGCTCTCTATCAACTAAAAGTCTAGGCTTTTCTCTAATGCTCCACACTATTGTGACATGAAAGAGTGATAAGACACTACAGTAAATCGTACTTGTGGAATTCAGGCCTGGAAGGGGCTTTAGCAAATAACTAAGCCAGCCCTCTCTTTGTAAAAAGGAGGAAAAGTATGTGAAGTGACTTACCAAAGGCTTGTTAGCAGAGATGTCTGGATTAAAATCCAGATACTGACAAATTTACCCCCTAATCCCATCTCTAGTTTCGTGGCCCACCCACTAAATCATGTGCTCCTTTTAAATCTCCTTTATGCACTGAGGTTTTAGTTATACAAAAACCCCTTCCAGTCAAACAGAAAAAATTAATTCAAATATGGAGAGAAAAATCAAACTTTCAGTATTTTCGTGACTATTTTGAGTAGTTCACTTTCCAACCTCTTAGACAGTTGACAGACACCACTAACCTGATCACCTATTTCAGAGCTTCAAAGATCCTTAATTTCCCCAAAGACTTCCTGAGCAAAAGGACTACATGTGGGAAATCAATGAAAACAGGAATGAGAAGAGAAACAAAGTTAAAAATTTGTTGCTTTTTGTTCCTGTCATTGGGGACTTTTGGTCTTCTAAACATTCCTTGAGTTCCTCCACATGAGTTTTTAATATCAATCTAGCAAAAATTAAAACAAACAAAAAAAGGCCTATGAAAGTCAGGATACTGAGCACCTCATCATCTCTCCCCCTCCCCACCGCTCGCGAATGCCAGTGCTGGCCTGTTCCTTAAACGCACCGGCTCATCCCCCAGAGCAGCCTGTGCGCTCTGCCAGCGAGTGCTGCTTCTCCTCCGGCCTGAGCTCAACGCCCCACCGCGGAAAGGCCTCCCTGACCGCTAGCTAATGTCACCCCACCCCCACCCCACCCCACCACTAAATCATCACCCTAGTTTATTTTCTTCATAGCACTTAATCACTATCTCAAACTACATTATTTATTTGTTTACTTATCATCTTCTCCTCCACCAGAAGTAAACTCCACAAGAGTAGGGACCTTGTCTGTCTCATCAGTGGTATTCCCAGCACCTAGCACAGTGCCTGGCATATAGGAGGTGTTCAATACGTATTTGTTGAAGAAAAGAATGATGGATTAATAAAGACGTTCATGCCTAAAAAAGAACTTATACACGCTAATCAATAAAGGGGTATCGAGAACTCCTATGCATTATTGCCCAAGATTACAGAAATAGAGATGAAACATTAGTGACTCCTCCTACCATCCACTTCTCGTAAGGTCTCCCTAGCTAGGAAGGAGCTCCATCTGTTACCAAAGGAGCCCAGAGGGCAATTCTGGATGAAGAAAAGCTCTCACTTTGCTTGCTTCTTCCTCCCTGCTATTTACATTCAGCTATTTCCAAAAAAATTCAAGTGAAAAATATGTGATGCAGCCACTAGAAAATAAGTCTGACTAACAGAGACAGTGATGAGCAGAATCCACACAAATAAAAAAGGTTCAAGGACATATATGTCTGCCAATGACTCTTCTGACAGGCTAAGTGAATGGGTACTGAGTCACCTAAAATCTAAAATGAAAGTTTATGCCATCTAGGAAGGGATGGATATTTATGGGGATTTTGAGGACATATAGGTAGAGTGGGTTCAGAAATAATAGGATATATGGAAAGATATGTAGGGGCTAAATCAAGTAACCTCAGAAATACCAGAACGTGATCTTAGTGGGAGCTGTCCGTTTTCCAATGCAATGCCAGTATGCTCGAATCAAGAGGAAGGAAGGGCATGAACTCCTCAAGGGGGAGTATCTGGGATAGCTTTTAAGCAAAGCATAGATAGAAGGTGACTCAGGAGGTCAGGCAATGATTGTGGCTTTTTGTGTAGTCTTTCAACTATGGAGGCATCGTGCTGGAATCCCAGGAAGCGACATCTGTGACTGGGACCCGAGAGCCATCCTGCTGGGCGGATGCTCAGAGATCCACATTCAAAGTCAAGCTGTGGAACATACTTGGCATGAACCAACAAATCAATCTCACATGCACCTCCTCAGAAACAATGTTCTGCTAGGGATTGCTGTAAATATTTCTTGGGTCAATGTAGGTATATACAGGGTTTCCTTCCTAGTGGCACTTACGGGTTTTAAGATTTTAAACTCTTAGCAAAACATTTTATATAACTGATATTTTGAGATGGTTTCTCTCCTTTGTGTGGACTCTCTGGTGGATGCAGAGGCTCGTACTCTGACTGAAGGCCTTTCCACACTCATCACATTTAAAAGGTTTCTCTCCTGTGTGAACTCTCTGGTGGATGCACAGGCTCGAACTCTGACTGAAGGCCTTCCCACATCCACAACATCTATAGGGTTTCTCTCCAGTGTGGACTCTCTGGTGGATGCAGAGGCTCGAACTCTGACTGAAGGCCTTCCCACACTCATAACATTTATAGGGTTTCTCTCCTGTGTGGACTCTTTGATGCATGCAGAGGCTGGAGGTGTGCCTGAAGGCCTTCCCACACTCTTCACATTTAAAGGGCTTCTCTCCGGTATGGACTCTCTGATGCATGCAAAGGTTTGAACTATTACTAAAGCCCCTTCCACACTCACTACAGACATACGGTTTCTCACCTGTATGAACTCTCATATGAATTTGAAGATGGGAGCTCCAATTGAAGGCTTTGCCACACTCATAACATTTATAGGGCTTCTCCACTGTGTGGATTTTCTTATGTCTATTAAGTTTTGTTGTAGTGCTAAAATCCTTACCACAATCATCACATTTATAGACCTTCTCTCCTGTATGGTCTCTCCAATGAATATGAAGTTCTGATATATGAAAGAAACCCTTATCACACTTGTCACATTTATGGGGCTTCTCAGCTGTGTGAATTTTCTGATGCATAAAAAGATCTGCTCTCTCAGAGAAAAATTCCCTACACATGGGGCACTTGTAGATCATTTTTCCTATTTGGTATCGTGATTTGGAGGAGAAAATTTCCTTACAATTACTACAGTTACAAGACTGTTATTTCATAGAGTCTCTTATTTGGCCATTTTGGCAGTCTATCTCAGGCTTGCTCTATTAGGTAAGTTTAAGGTCAGCCTAAGCTTTTCCCTGCCTGTCTTTCTATGGAAGGTTTCTTCCTGCATAGTGTTCCTCACTCAGTATTATTATTGATTATAAAGTGACATTGACTTCCACGTGTATTCTGTAACTCATTAACATAGAACTTTGTTTTAGATCCTGAGTTGTCAACATTCCAAAGGGCTCTCAAGGTGCAAACCTTTTTGTTTTTGAGCCCCTAGAATCTTCCTCTTGTAGAGTAATGTTGTACTTCTCACTTCTAGAAAAAGGACTGTACAGTATATCCCCTGTATCGAAGGATGAGATACTGCTGGCTGGTCTCGAGCCCCTGCAGTCGCCCCTTGAAGAGTCAGTTTGGCATTCTGCCTCCTGCACATCAGACACGAAAGCTTCTCCAGCAAGCAGGCTCCTCGGGGTCCAGGTATGGCAAGCCTTGCTTTGGGGAATTCCCTACATGGATATCATGCCATCTCCTGTAATAGAAACGTAAATAAATAAATTGAAAATGCTTCTATCCGGAAAACTGCTATTGATTCCAAAATTAATTTTATATAAATGTGACAGCAGTAACACAAACCTTTTTTGGTCTTGAGGAAGAAGCTCGCTTATCTTCCAGAGATGTGTCTCTTGGATTTGCAGGTCTGAAGGAGAGAATTTGTAGATATCATGCTCCTGTTTACAGCTCAAGTAAATAATCCAGTTACAACCACTCATCGTAATTATCTGAGCAACATCAAGGGGAACGTTATTGAAAGAGAAAAGAAATCCTCAAAAGACCTACATGTGAGTATGAAAACCAGCTGTCCTGTACAAAGGAACAACAATGAAAATGATCTCCACTTTGAACTTCAGAAGGTACAACATTGCTGCTTTTGGAGATAAAACATCATATGTGACTTGCCTTCTAATCTACAGAAAGAATAAGTACATGATGTGTTGGTATCAAATGTCATTCTCCTACTTGTCTTCAATGATTTCCTGATGTACTTAAAATAAAATTCCAATCCTTAACTCAAACACCTGACCTGCCCCTCTCCCCACTTCACCCCATGCTTCCTGCCTCTGGCTTTCTTTTTCAGCTCTCAAACACCCCAAGCGTTTCCTGCCTCGGGGCCTTTGTACATGCTGTTCCCAGCACTTAAACCACTCCCTCCCCTACTTTGTGCAGAGCTTTGTGGGTCAGCTGCCCTCCCCTACCTAAACAGGCCCCAGCTAGACTCTGTTTTCATCTCCTTTAATTCCTTTAAAGCCCACATGACTTGTAATTATCGTATTTGTTCCCTGGTTTTTAACCTGTCTCTTGTACTAGGATGTAAGTGCCATGAAGGAGGAACTGTGTGCGTTGCTCTCTGTTACAACCTGGCAATGAGAGGGGTTCAACGAATATTTTCTGAGAATCTATAGAGTACTTCAGGACACCCTCTGGCACCCACACACATGTCCTGCTTCATTCTGGTGGGGCAGATAAAGGTACATTTCTTAGTGCCTTATTTCCAGTCTTTTGATAGCCTCCAGGAGACAAAATACACAACAAACAGAATAAGGAGGAGATAAAAGAAGAAAATAAATCTCAAAATATTCACTCTGAAATCTTTTAAGGTTTAGGACTATGTTTTAGCAATATTTTCATTTCTTTTATTCTATATGCAGTGATACTTTAAAATTAACTAAATGAAATCAATAGGTCTTCTTAAAATAACGCTTTTAATATGTTCCATACAAAGAGAACATGCATGGGTGTCTGAGGAGACGTAATGTTAAAAAGGTAAAATAAACTGGACTGCTTCTAGGTGAAAGTGTTATAATTACAAAATTCAATTATGTACCCCAAATTTCGGCAAAAATGGTCATATATCTACAAAAATTATGTTTGCATCCATCCTTTGTCCTAGTAATAATTCTAGAATATATCCTAAAGACACATTGGTAAAAATAGAAAATGACTGATATACCCGGTTATTCACTGAGGCAGTATTTGGCAGCGAAACTGCAAGCAACCCAAGGCCATCGATAGGGAGCTAGCTGAATCAAGTATGGCACCTCCTCACAAGACAAAAAGGAATGAGGACGGCACTGCGCACTGACACGGAGTGAACCCAGGTTACACTGCTAAAAAAAAAAAAAACAAAAATCTAAGGTACACAATAGTATATGTTCTATGCTACCTTTTCTGCAAAAAAGGAAGGTAATATATAAAATAAACACTGGCCTGGCACAGTGGCTCATGCCTATAATCCCAGCATGCCAGGAGGCCGAGGTGGGAGGATCACTTGAGGCCAGGAGTTTGAGACCAGCCTGGGCAACACAGGGAGATGCTGTCTCTACAAAAAAAATTAGGTTAAATTAAAAAGTTAGCCAGGCATGGTGGCACACATCCGTAGTCGCAGCTACTCAGGAGGCTGAGGCAGGAAGATGGCTTGCGCCTACGAGTTCAAGGCTACAGTGAGCCAAGACTGTGCCACTGTACTCCAGCCTCAGCAACAGAGTAAGATCCTATCTTAAATAAAAAAATAAATAAACATGGTGAAAGATAATCCAGAATTTAATTTAATGATTACTTATGGGGGAGAATACAGTTAAGACTTCTCTGAATATACTGTTATATAGTTCTGACTCTGGAAACATGCTTCTATAGTCAAAAAATAAAATTAAATGAATATTAAAATAAAATAAAGAGAATAAACCTATCATGTTGGTGACATAGCCACAAATGCCTTTTGAGCACAGTATACTGATTGTACATGCCTAGAACATATTCTTTTGACAAATAAGCTGCAAAGAAATCACACTTCTTTCAACAATTTAACTGTTACTGGTGTCTTGTAAAGTAGGTTAATACAAATAAGTAGTTTATGTTAAAGTTGTTAGCCAAGATTCAATGTAAGAAAAATTAGATTTAAGTATAAAATCAAAGTTAAGAAAAAATTATGTAATATAAAATTTGACTTAGAGATATCAGTTTGAATTCACTTTTTTTTTTTTTATTTTTAGCAATCACCAAAAAGACCTGGAAGCAATAAGAAGTGATAGCAATGAGCACACCTAGAGCCCCTTCCCTTAAATCCTCTCCCCACCATGAGGCAAGGGGTCCTTGGAGGAATGGCTGGGTTCAAAGCCAGAGTAGCACTTACAAAATGATCTTGGGACATCTTGTTATGCCAGAAAGCAGGAGGGCTGTGCCAAAGGAACACAGAGCCAATTATGCAACTGAGCATCAAAAGGAATAAGAAAGGCAATCGAGTGAGACATATTAAATATACAAACCCCAGGAGCTCATAATGACTGTAGGGAATGGGGAAGAAAGAGACAGGCAGGCAGAGAGATGGAAAGGCCTTGGCTAGACTCTGTTTTAGAGAGATGGAGAGACCCAAGGCACTGAAACAAAATTGGAATTAACTAGGGGCCCAACTGCTTACCCTGAAAATGGGTAATTAAAAGGAGAGAAGCATCTATCCTATTTCCTGTATGAACTCTCTTTCAAGACAAAGAAGCAACCAGCTAATATGTGCATACTCCTCATCAAACACCTGATTCAGACCATGATAAGCAATGGGTGAAAAAAGGGGCTGGAAGGCTGATCCGGGACTTGGCATTGCCAGAATCAGGTTGTCACCACCTGAAGCCAGGAATCGATCGATCTTAGCATGACTCAAAGAGGAACAACCAGACACGTCTGCCTCCTGCCGTGGTGCAATGGGAAGCACCCAGCACCCTCTGAAGACATTCTTGCCAAAAGACTGAAACAAAACCTAATCAAGCCTCTGGAGCTAATTTTTAATGGAAAGAACTGCAGAGACAGAGGAACTACTAGGAAACAAGTAGCAAAATATCAAAAGGTGAGCCACTCTACAGGACAACTGCCCGCCCCCCCCCTTTTTTTTTTTTTGCAATAAGGACATGGGGAAAAAAAAAAAAAGATGGTAAGGAGGGAGGAGTTGCTCTAAATGAAAGAGACTTGAGACATAACAATCAGATATAATCGGAGGACCTTCTTTGGAATCTGAAGCAAACCAGCTGCTAAAAGGGGACAGTCAAGGAAATGTGATTAGGGGTATGAGATTACACTGTGTGCTGTTAACTATGTGATCATGTCATTGTAGCTATGTAAACCAATGTCTACAGCCTTAGAGACGCACAGTGAAGAACAGGAATGATGGGACATGTCATCTGATATGTGTGATTTAAAATGCTTCAGCAAACCAAAAAAAAAAAAAAAAAATAAGGAAAGTAAAAAAGAGCAGGCAAAGCAAATGTGGTAAAAATCATTGCAACCATTGAATCCAGGTGAGAGATAAATGAATAAAATATTCTACTCTAAAATATTCTATTGTAAAATATTATGTATGGTTGAAATCTTCATGATTAAAAAAAAATGTGTAAATGCTGAGAAGATATTCCTTTCCTGCTCTTCTGGCAAAGGCAAACTAATCCCAGGACCACCGCATAGAGGGGCAACTGTGACTGAAATGAATATAATCCCCGAAACAGCCCTCATTTCCCCAGTCAATCCTGAGCACAGGAGAATGCGCACAGGAAGAGGTCTCTGGACAGCAGGAGAAGGTAGTGGCGGCAGGGACAAGCAGAGGACAAAGGAAGCAGCACTGTGCTCTGCTCTTTCCCTCGCAAGCTAACCCCAGCAGGGGTGTCTTCCAGCACCCCCTCCAGGAATCAAGCTGCCACAGAGCATTCCTCCAGCCTAGCCTCAGCAGAGTCCAGCTCTGCTCAGAAGGGCAATAGTTCAACACCAAGGTCCCTGACAGGGGAGTCTGACATGACCTCCCACTGGAGTTCTTCAGGAATCAGGCACTGCCATTCCTTCCAGATAAAGTCCTTGGACCTGTCTGTAAGTCTCACTGCGCAGTGGGGGGATGAGAGGGGTAAGCTGCATTTTGTAGGAAAAAGAAAGATAAAAGAAACTCCGGCAAATTTTCCATGTGACCAACCAAAGAACAGAAAGGCCAACACACAGAAAGGATCTCCAGTACAGACTCGCCTATCACAGCCCCCGCCCAACTCTTCCACACAGATAGAGGCGACTATAAATCCAGAGGCAGATACAGGTTATGGAGCCCCACAGAGGTCACAGATCCTGAATGCACCACGTTCCCAAGGCTGTCTCTCACTCCAGACTCCCCCTTATGTCTCATAATCAACGTCCTACCGGGGGTTTCAAGAGGACATCCCACGTGACTGCAAGCCCCTCTTTCTGACCTGAGGAGGAAGCCTGTCACTGCCAAGGACAAACTAAGAGCCTGCACCTGCGAGCTCAGGAATGCCCCCAGCATCCTGTGCACTCGACCCACACTGGAGGAGAACAAAACAGCAAAATGACAGTGCAGCTGAAAACTGAGAAAATGAAAGCTTAAAATTTAGCCCATCTACCTCAAATCCTCACCTTCCATGAAAAGGAGCCTTTCCTCTCCCCCTGTAGTTTGTGATACCACAGAATACTGAATCAGTACTAATATCTCAGTACAATTAAAACTGAGGGCACTAGCTTATAAAGAACTGATGCTGAGATTCAAGAAAGTAAAAAACTAAGTCTTAAATACAAGGAAACCGTATCCTGAGAGAATACATGCTCTGGGCCACAGCATAAGAAAGGGGAACCTGAAGATGGGGGTACAGGACTAACAGGCTGGGAGAATGAAGTTGGTTTCCCTTGAGAGCTGCTCAGACCAAAAGTTCCTCACTCTAGTGGTAGAAGAGGCAAACCCGCTGCATGTAAGGGAGACTACCACTCCAGTGTAGGGCCGAGGCTGCAGGAGTCGGCCACAGCAGCCCTAATGGGGTGATCAGAGCATCAGAGGAACGCCAACTATTTATGTGGAGGTAGAGGTTGGTGAGCTACAACCGATGTTCCACAAAGTGGACTCTGAACTGGATTATATTCAACACAGGCTGGATATGAAATAAAGACTAATCACCTTGATTGGGCAGGAGAGAAAAATCCAGTTACACTCCTAAAGGAATTAGCAGCCATTCAGCCTTGACATCAGACTATGTCCACAGTGTTCAGTCAGCAGATGCCGACTACTGAGCAGAAGGCCAAGTGCCTCATCTGTGCTGCTCTGCTCGAGGCTATGACCTCCATGCAAGAACTACAGAGGCACAGGGACCCAGCTGTCACCACCAACTGAGGAAGAGAATAGCGCCACCCAGCAACTAACATCCCACTGCCAGGCTGGTAAAGAAAGAGGTGTGCAGAAGGGCACACTGGTGCAGCACCCAGTGCCAGGGAGGTACAGGATGATGTCTTGCGAGCACTTGGGGCTGGCATGGAGACAGCTTGTTGTGGGGATGGGCCAGTGATGTCTTTAGAAAGACAGGAGATGTGAGACGGAGGGCAGATGCTGTATGAATGAAGTTCAACCAAGAGAAGAGAACAGGAAAGAGGGAACTTTAAAATGTATTCCCACTTAATCTTGGAACTTCAGGCCAACATATCACCTAACACTACTTTGCATCTATTTTCTTTTTATATAATGAGGATAATAGAGACATGCTGGACTATGTCTCTCTCTCTCTCTCTCTCTCTCTCTCTCTCTCTCTCTCTCACACACACACACACACACACATTTTATAAATTATCAATCAAAATGTGAAGTAACAAACTTTGGAAACTAAAAGATAGACAACTGTATTATATATTTACATCGTTTTCAAAAATGCTGACTGCATGTTAAGGTAAGACTGCCAGCACCCAGTATGTGACTTGTGGTCATTCAACAAAACCCAACTCAAGTAATAAACTGGCTTCTCATGTGAACAAAAAAGTAGAGGGTGGACAAAATAAGAACAACAAAAACCTCACGGTTTATGAACCTGGGTTCAACCCCTGTGGTGACAGGCCCATAGGAGTACGTTTTGTTTTTTTCTCTACTTTTGAGTTCATTTGAAATTTTCCATAATAAAATGTAAGCCAGTAAGCCTTTGCTTAGAACAGTGGTCCCCAACCTTTTTGGCAGCAGGGACCAGTTTCATAGAAGACAATTTTTCCACAGACTGGGGGCAGGTGTGATGGTTTTGGGACGAATCAAGTGCATTACGCTTAAATTGTGCACTTTATTTCTGTTATTATTACGTTGTAATATATAATGAAATAATTATACAACTTACCATCATGTAGAATCAGTGGGAGCCTGAGCTTGTTTTCCTGCAACTAGGTGGTCCCATCTGGAGGTGTTGGGAGACAGTAACAGATCATCAGGCACTAGATTCGCATAAGGAGCGGGCAATCTAGATCCCTCGCATGCACAGTTTACAACAGGGTTCACGCTCCTATGAGAATCTAATGCCTCCGCTGATCTGACAGGAGGTGGAGCTCAGGAGGTAATGCAAGCGATGGGGAGTGGCTATAAATAGATGAAGCTTCACTGGCTTGCCCACCACTCACCTCATGCTGTGTGGCCTTGGTTCCTAACAGACCATGGACCGGTAGCCATTCGTGGCCCAGAGGTTGGGGACCCCTGGCTTAGAAAATCCCTGTATGACGATCTTAAGCCATCAGAAAGAATACAACGGTGTTCTAGGTTACAGAGCTAAATAAACATTGCCTCCATCTCCACTGACAACACTAACCTATGCAAGTCCAGCCATATCATTATACAGCTCAACGGTTTTCACTCAGAAGTCTGTAAGCAATCTGTCCACCTTGAGTGAAACTCTAGCCTTTAACCAAAACATTCTATTCCAGCTTTCTGCTCTGTTAATCCTATGGAACCTTTTCTTTGGTCCCTCAGGACCTCCAGTCCTCTTTCAATCTTTGTCCTTTGTCTTTACTTCCTGGCTTCCATGCTGACTTGGGTTCTTTATGCCCTCCCTCCACCCAGGTTCACCTCTCTCTTCTGTCATCATTACTGTTTCCATGGCCACACTCTAGCTCTATCACCCCCAGAAACTGTGCTCCCTCCCAAATCTGTGTTGAGCAACCTATTCTTGGACACTGGGTGCTCCCTCCCCTTCCAGCTAACTGGCTCCAGGAACTTCATGCAGCAGACTTGCACCCAGTGGCCTGACCCTTTGTTCCCTGTCTGTTGTCCATAGCTTCTCTCTGCGCTCACCAGAACTCTCTGGCCCCACCTACTCTCAGTGACACCGCACCTTATTCAAACCCAACTCTCCACCTATCCATGCAGGCACCCAAGTGGCTGAATAATGCCAGGTTTATTTAACTCATGACCATACATTTCAAATGGGCACTGGAGTGGCCCTAAATTCTTCCAAAAGTCTTCAGTACACACATTTTCCCAATACTTTAAATTGCTACTTCATCATTCCCCTTTCTCCTCAAATCTCCCATCTTCCCTCTGACTCCCTCACTTGTGGCTGATAACCTGCCAAGAGCCTGCTTCTGATTAAGACAACAGAAGCAGGCTGGGCGCAGTGGCTCACGCCTATAATCCCGTCACTTTGGGAGGCCAAGGAAGGTGGATCACGATGTCAGGTGTTCCAGACAAGCCTGACCAACATGGTGAAACCTCGTTGCTACTAAAAATAGAAAAAGTAGCCGGGCATGGTGGCATGGGCCTGTAATCCCAGCTATTCCAGAGGCTAAGGCAGGAGAATCGCTTGAACCCGGGAGGCAGAGGTTGCAATGAGCCGAGATCATGCCACTGCACTCCAGCCTGGGCGACAGAGAAAGACTCTGTCTCAAAAAAAGAGAAGCAATTAGATGGCAAGCCCTTCATTTTCTCACTGCAAATCCACTAGGCCACCTGTATTCACACCTCCTACTCCAACAGGGGGTGCCCTGTTGCTGGGAAAGACCAGCCCTTCCACTTGTGCCCATGAGTACACTTCCTGGGCCTTCTCCAAATGGGATCCTGTAACTATTCCCCCTCGTTGACACTGTCAATTCCATCCCAGCTACAGGACCATTCTCATACAAACATGTTCTGTATCTTCCTCCTTAAAATTGCTTTGGATCTCACAGCCCCACCCCTGCTATCCTCATGCTGTCCCCTGCCCCTGCAGGCAGGTTTCTTTCCCAACATGCCACTGAAAACATGTTTCTTTCCCAACATGTACTGCCTCCGTCAGGACAGGGCCCCAAGACAGGGCTGGAAACACCTGCTTTCTTAGCTGGCCCGTCCCTGCCCCTCACTAGCCACTCCTTGTTTCTTTTACTGCTGACCTCTCTTCTGTTCAAATTCTAAATCCTGGGGTGCTTCAGGGTTCCTGCTTGGGACCACTTCTTTTCTGAATCTATACCCTGTAAGTAATCTCACCAGTCATGTGATCTAAAATACTCTCTTGATGTTGGCTCCCGTTTTTATCTCCAGCCCTGGACTGCTCCATAACCTCTGCTGAAAGGCACTACAACCACATTTCCAAACCAAATTTCCCCTCAAACTGTTCCTTCCTCACTCTTCCCCATCTGTGTCAAGCGCACCAACATCCATCCAGATGCATTGTCCTTAATTCTGCTTTCCTCCAGCACCACCAATGCAAATCACTGCACACTCTACCTCCTCTCCACAACATAACCCAGCCCTGCCCTCACATCTCTCCATGGCCACTACAAGCTCCACCCTGTGCAGGCCACGGTCACCTCCTGCCTGCAATATTTCAACAGCCTCTCAACCATGGGTCTCTCTGGCTTTCATTCTTGCTCCTCCACAACTGGACCTCTACCAGTAGTCACCCTCATCTTTTAAAAACATAAGTTAGAGAATGTCACTGCCCTGCTTAATCCTTCCATTGCTCTTTAGAACACACATCCTCTCGCTGGCTCACAAGCTGGAGGTGGCCCAGCCACCCTCTTTCCAACCTCACCTCCCGCACTCTCTGCAAACCACACACTAGCCTCCCTCATCTCCTTTCTAGTCTTCAAGCTTGCCAGCCTCATGTGCCCTCAGTACCTTCACATAAGCCCCCTGCCCAGCTTCTTCCTGGTCCTCAGGGAGCTGGCATCTACTCAACACCCAGGCCTCAGCACATGTGCTATATTCCCAGAAAGCAGCTCCTGGGCTTGTCAGTTTCAACTGACTTACCTCTCTGCCCTCACACCTTTCTGATCACCTCTTTCTGCTTAATTTTTGTACAGAACATTACCACTTACTGCCTGGAATTATTGTGCTCATTTTTGCACATGCTTCCTTTGTTGTGCTCTTCTCCCTGCTCTCTTGAATGCAAGTTCCTTGATCAGCAGAAACTGCAAAGAATTTATGAATTTGTGAATCTCTGAAACTCCTACATCTCTCTGTCTTCCAGTCATTCAAGCACCAAATGTTTACTGAGTGTCTAACCTATGTCAGCCTCTGTGCCTTCAACAGTGCAGAATCATAGCCAGTCCCTTCTCGAGTGCAAGCCACAGTCTAGTGGGGAGACAACGTTCATCAAAGGTGTCCACAAGGAAATGTCAAATAAATCTATATGAAACGCTTCAAAGCAGCCCTGCACAGTGCTCTGAGCACCTCGGAATGGGCTGGAAGTGAGGTTGACCTGGTCAGGGGAGACCACTTTGAACTGATGGCTGAGCTCAGATCTAGAGGAGGCCTCTGCAGGGTGAAGAGAAGATACACGACCTGAGGGAAAGGCACGCGTGGAGGACCTTGGTGAGGGGCAGGAGGCAAGCATGGGACAGAACAAGGCCAGCTGGGCTGGAGACGCTCAGTGGCAGACGAGAGGGGAGAAGCTAGGCATCATGATCTTTATGTTCATAGCAGTGGAAGCCTCCACAGTGGTTAGCTTTTGTCTTAAAATTTGGTAGTAACATCAGATTTCCATTTTAAATAGACAACTGTAGCTAAAATACAGAAATTAATGGATGGGTAGAAAGCAAGAGCATCTGGGGGTAAACACGGTAGGGGATCATCTTAGTCATTAGGGTTGGAAACAATGATCAAAATCTGGACTAAAGCAATGGTGGAGATGAGAGAAAAATCCATTAGACTTGGTGACAGTTTCAATACAATGGGTGAGGGACAAGGAAATGCCAAGGATAACTCCCAGGTCTTTTACCTGAATAACTGGATAGAGATGGAGCCATTCAGTAAGACAGAAAACTCCAGAAAGACCAAGATTTGAGGACAAAGATTGTGATTTCCATTTTAGACATGATCGTGATATCCGAAAGTGGATGTCAAGGACAGCAGCTGGATGGATGGAACTGACACTGAAAAAAGAAATCAGGACTTTATAAGGTATACATGTGTGAGCCATTAACATTTAGATGGTAACTTAAACAGGGGGAGGGAATAACACTGCCTACGAAGAAAGGATGAAAAGGGAAGAGGGCCCTGGGACCTCTCTACGGGAGACCAACATTTAATGACTCAGTTTGAAAGAAGCCAAGTAGAAGAGCACATACTGAATGATTCTGCTTACATAAAGTTGAAAAACAAGCAAATCAATTGATGCTGCTACGTAACAGAGGAGACAGAGGGGCTAATGACTGGAAAGATGTACGAGGGAATTTCTAGGGATTGTTGTCATGTGCTGTCTTTATCTGGGCATTGGTGCACACAGGTGTGCTCATCTCACAGCTGTGAAAATTCATCACACTGTAGCTCTATTTATAATCTGCATGTTAGACTTCAAGGAAAAGTTCAGGGAAGAAATAAAAATGAGACTGAGCTTTTCTTTTTTTATCTTGAATTCCAATGAAAAGGAAAGACTGAAACTATGGGAGAGAAAAGAAATAACAGAAAGGGCCAATGGAGACGGGATCCAAAGCTCCATGAGAGGAATGAGCCCTGGAGAGGGGAAAGACGCGCCTCCGTGAACAGGTGAAGGCAGGAAGTGGTGTGTGTGTTTAAGTAGAAACTGAGAGTCCCTGGCTGCTAGGAAGCAGGAAGCAAGGTCATCTGCTGAGGAGAGGGCAATGGGGAGCCTGGAGGTTTGAGGAGAACAGGTGTGGTGGTTTGAGGTGGTGTGAGATGGTTGTCTGGAGGGCAGGAGAATGGCGTGACCTGAGAAACGTAGGGGGACTGCCAGCAGCACTGAGAGTGGGCATGGATTTGGCCCAGGGCTTAGTTCCTCAGGGACCGCATGGGGAAGGCAGATAGCTAAGTTTCTGCAAAACTGAGTTTTTGCCAAATGAGAATCATCAAAGGACAAACAGGCCTTCCTTCTAAAAGAAATCATCCCCTATCCCAATCTAAATCTCTACCTTCACATGCTGACAGAATCACAAACCACCAAGGTCTTCACAGTGATACCCTCAGCTGGATCTTCCAAGCCTCAGGAATGCTTGTGTTACCTCACCCCAAGTTGCTATGTGGCTACTGCCCCCTTCGCCATGTTCAATCTATGTCTGACCTGCAACTAGCTCTGCTCTTGAAACCAAATGCCACACAGAGAAGGCAGAACCCATCAGAGAACTCCCTCCAATTTCAGTCAAACTATCATTGTACATGTGCTGCCCAACTCTAGCCCTTTCTTCCTTTTACAAATGGAAGAAGTGTCCATGTCCTACTTAAGATTCAGCCCAACACCACTCCTCTCTGGATGTCTGGACTGAGCTTTTCTTTTTTTATCTTGAATACATTATCTAAAATTTGGACTGCTGGCTCAGAAAAATCTAAAGTCATTTTCAAATAACTATATAATTACTTTGTCATAAAAGTCAAGTGAAAATTACCTCTTATTTTTGAGACAACTGTTCTGATTTTAAGAAACCTATAAGTATCACAGACCTTTCTGGAGTATTATGAGTACAGGTCTTCTTATGAAGCACTAACTGTACATAATCCCCCTCTGCAATAGCAGACTCTGACAGTAAAATCAATTTCAACAGAGATCAAATTAATTTCCTACCCAGAACCAGAGCTATCAGAATGTGTGGTATACAATTTTGCCACTCAAAGGCATAAGGGCACACTTTCTGGGAAAGATAAAAGCGAAAAAGAACTGGGAAGATGACATGTCGGCCTCCACTCCCTACCAAAAATAACCACCACCAACTGTGATGAGTTGAGATGACCATGTGATTTATCTTCCCCACACGCATACAGCAGGCAATTGTGTCATGGGGGCTGGATAAGATTCTGTAAGAAAAATAATCAAAGGGCCCTGGCTCAGGAGACGATGCACTAGGCCAGTAATCTTAAAATATAAAAGATCCACATTAACTTCTTGGCCCCTTAATTAATGGGAAAGATTTTATAGAAAGATCCCTATATCCCTAGTCCTCTAACACATGTTGATTATTTGACATAGATAAGTGACACAGAGAAGCCAACCCACCCTGACACAGACCTGGAAGAGAGCTGTTATTAAAGTCCTGGAAGCTGACCTCTGAGGCATAGGGTCAGAGCTGCAAGCACACAGGCACATGTTCCACATTTATTTAGCACCCAGCATCTGTTGGGCAGTAAGCTAGGCTCCGGAGGATCTGATGAACAAAACAGACATGGCCTCTGCACTTATGTGGTTTACATATGAGGAAGGGAAGGCGACGGTTCCAGCACATGTGAACGGAGATTTGACAGAGGCATTACAGCTGATGAGCCAGGGGCATCCTAAGTAGTCTCAGCATGGTAATGAAGATTTCTAGTTGACTCTACTTTTAAGCTGAAACCCAAAGGACAAAGTGAAGTGGCCACATAAAGAAAAGGAGGGCATAGCATGTATACAGAGGTCATCAGATGCCAAGCCCCAGAAAGTGGAGTCCAGCAGGCAGAAACAGGAGTCATACAACGGGGTCTTTCAGCCACAGAAACTCTTATCTGGAGTGACCAAGGCAACTCTGTAGGATTTATTTTTGAAAAAATATAAGCATTACAGTTACAAGACACCCAGGAGATAGTAGTCCACCTATAAAGACCAACAGAGACTTACAGGTCTTCCTATGACGTCCTGTAAGCTCAGGACTCTATCTTTTAAGAAAAACAGAAGGTATTTAAAGTTGGAAGCCTGTGGAGAGTGTCACAGGTGCCAAGGACTGGGAAGGACCCGATCCATAAACATACAAAGGGATAAAGTATAAGAAAGGCTCCTGTGGGGTATTAGAAAACAAAGTTGCACAGGAAATCAGCTCCTGAGATGGCTGATACACCCTGCACTTCTAGGAGGAACTTCTGACCTCAGAAGCCCTCCTGCAAATGTCACCTCCCATTCTGGAACAGGGAACACTCCTTGGATCCAGCATTCGCTGTCCAATGCAGTTTCCCAAAACTGTATGATTTCATTTGAAGTCCTCACTTCACTTAACACGTGTTTTTTCCTTCAGACATCCACACTGTCTCTGAGCCTCCCTCCCAGTGTAGCCAAAAAAATAAATCAACAGCCAAATCCCCGTGTTCTAATTGCAGTACCAAGTACTGATACTCATTCCAGCACTAATTCGTCAATGTTGCGTCTGGATTAGCTGGAGCTCTGAGGAAGAAAGGCAAAAAGTATACTGGGTTAAATAGTGTCTCCCCAAAATTCATATCCACCCAGAACCTCAAGGTGTGACCTTATTTGGAAACAGGGTCTTTGCAGATGTAATTAAGATGACATCATAACATGTTAGTGTGAGCCCTAAATCCAATGCCTGGTATCCTTATAAAACAGAGGAGATGGAGATTCAGACACACACACAGACGCGGAAAAAGGCCATGTGGGGATGGCTGCAGAGAGTGAAGTGATATGTCTACAAGCCAAGGAAGGCCAAAGACTAAGAGGCAAAGGATTCTCCCATAAAGCCTTCAGAGGGAGCACGGCCCTGCTGCCACCTGAATCCAGAATTCCAGCCTCCAGAACTGTGAGACAATACATTTCCATTGTTTTAAGCCTCGCAGCTTCTGGTACTTTGATACAGCAGCCCGAGGAAACTACAAGAAGGATATGGCATGCTCTCAGTGACATTTTCCCATTACAGTCCTTATCTCCCTCTGGGCTCTATGTACACAAGGGGCATTGTTTATTCTTTCGTGATGGTGAAGGAATGGTGTTTATTTCACACTTCACCCAAGTCCTTTTAGCTTTAAAAACCTGGAGTGATTTCACCTTTAATCACTTCCAAAAAAAGAAGTTGCATATTTCACTTAAATATTTTTACTTAAGAGATTAAGAGAGATTTCATAGAAAAAAATCTTTATTTTTCCTTTCCTTTCCAATAGTTTTATTCTCTGCTTCTGCCTCCTAAGGAAACAAAAAAAAAATCACAAACAGTATCTACAGTCTTCACCTCTGACACCAAAAAAGTGAATGACACATACATACTTCTGTGGCTGGCAGCCTGGGGAAGGGGTGAGCAGTGGCTTCACAATTAGACCAGCCAGAGTGAATGGGGGTTTTGTATATAATACATATAACATGGGGCACCCAGCCTACTTCAGTCCATCACACACAAGTGGGCTTTGTCCTGGTAATGCAGGAATGAGCTTCATTCCCTCCCTGGCCAGGCAATGAGGACAGAGCCCTGCAATCTAATTGGCCACTGCAAAAGCTACCCATCAATTATAGAGCCCGTCCCCAACGACATTCTGTCCATTCTGTCTAATTTCCAGATGAACACTTTTCCCCATTCCTGCCTGCTCTCCTTGGGTTTCGCACCTTAAATTTCCATTCTGTGAAAGTATCCTTTCTCATCACAGGCAAAGCCATAATTTGGTAGAGCTAAGAGATGCAAAGCCCTTCTTGAGGCCATGAAGCTCTTAACAGACACAGCTAAATTTGAGCTTGTTTTACAGAGCATTCTATCTCCAAAATCTTGAATCGCTATGCACCTCCAGCTCCGTGTGTCCATACACATTCTCCCTAATTTCCACCACTCATGCTCACACTCGGCCCACTTGAAGCAACCTTTTACCCCCAAGAAGCAGCAGTTTTTGCCAACAAATTAGACTGCAGCAGAAACACTTTGTAATTCAAGTTTCAGCTCTCCCACTTACTAACAGTGTGACCTCAAGCAAGTTGTTCAACCCTAAGACTCACTTCCTCAATACCTAGACTTGTATCTCTTAAGGTTGCTTTGAAATTACATAAGACAATGCATACTTATTATAGTACTTAAGCTCAATACATACTATCGTTCTTCAGTGTACCCACCTGGTAAGCACAGGCAATGCGCACTGTTAACTGAAGGATGGCTTAGGAGCCTGGCAACAGGTCAGCCTTCCTGCTGAGCTTTCCTTTCCCTTTCCTAACTGCACTCTAACTTGCTGTTCAGGGATTATGTCTCCCTCT